AAGTCATTCAGCTGATCCAAAATTTAAACCGGTCGAAAATAAATAAAAAATAATGAATTAAATAATATTTATATATAATTTAAATATTATAAAACAAAAAATAATGATAAATTAATAACAATATTACAACTTTGTAATTTCATCTTAAATTAGTCAAAAATTTAAAAAATAAAATACCTTAACCTTTTAAAAGTTAAATTAATCAAAAATATATCTTTTAATTACTAAAAATAGAAAATGGGTGATTAAGGATTCATTATATATTTATAATATTTCTTAAAAACAAAATTTTAAATAAAATGAACCTAAGTTACATTGTTTGTGAATATTGTTACACTGTTGGTCTAAATTCACCTTAAATCGGTAGAAATAAGAAAATGGGAAAATTTGAACTTTTTAAAGGGTTGAATATATTCAAAATAGATCTTTAAAAGTGTAAAAAAAAAAGAAGATCATTTATGCCTTCTTAAGACATTTATAAGGTTTCAAGAAACTTCTGGCAAAAAAAAATTATAACTTCAAGGGTGATTTCCTTAAAACATCTCTCTTTTTTTATTTTTGCCTTAAAAGGCACCCCTATTTTTCTTTTTCCCAGTGACTCTTCAAATAATATCTAGAATACCCCTTGCCAATGGTAATGATACTTTTTCCACCCATTTTTTCGTTAGTTTTGAACCATTTATAATATTTTTATTTAGCTCATTTATAATATTTGTCAATAAAATATTTACGGTATTTTTATTAAGGTACTAAATACACTATAAAGCTATTAAAAAAATACTATAAGTTATATTATATTGTGCATCTTTAGTTATCATTGCTTGTAGATCATTACCATACTATATTTTCAGGCTTGTAGTTAATTTAATTGAGATTAAGAGTTCATTTGGATCATGTTTTCAAGTGGGTCTATGGCGTTTTTGTCATGATGGTCAGACCGAATTTTGATCCCTATTTGGGTTTGGGTGATATTATTTCTAAATTATTATAAATATATATTTGAATTCTAGTAAGCTATATAGTTTCTAGTTGTTTTGATTTTATTTGATTTACTTATAGTATTTTCTAATAACATTATAATATTTTTAATTGATGTAGTGAAAATATTTTAAACTATTGAAAAATATTATAAATTATATCATATTGTGTCCGTTTTAGTTGTCATTGTTCAAAGACCATTATGAAACCAAATTTTTAGATTTGAAGTTGATCTGATTCAAGTTATAGGTTCATTTGTATTATTTATAATATTTTCAAGAAGTCTTGTGAGAATTATATTTAGGTAATTCAAATGGCATGACATGCTCTTTGTTTTATTATTCCATATTTTAATGTTGCAAACACATGCTTTTAACTCTTGACAATGTGAATTTTCATATCTTGTGATGCAAAAATTGAAGTATCAACTAGAAAAGCCTATATGATTAGAATTAAGATCTCACAGCAACAGCATAGTTTACATCTTTATCTTAGCATAAGAACTTTGTATCTTAATCATTGTTTAATCATCATAGTTTCCTTTTTTAATGAAATTTTGACTATGTTGTTTACTGCCGCCACAGTGATCCTGGAAATGTTTATGGCAGATTGAAGGAAAAACTGGACTGCTGAACTGTGTTCACTGCAAACAGCTAAGAAACCATTAAAACAAAGACAAGATCCACATTGTTTATGAAATCTTCATCTTCTACTGATTCAAATACACGTGAACTTTGACCCTTATCAAGATTACAAATGTTTAGCCGGCAATCATATACTTTTCCCAACAATTACGTACAAACAAGAACAACTCCTTAAGACCTCATCTGGCCATGTCCAATGTACAGTTCGGAGGAAAAGACAATGATGCTTGTAAAATATCAATCTTATCTATCTAGCCTTGTGGTGAGGAGATAGGAAACTTCTTGCAGGAGTTGTGTTGAGATCATGAGTATGTTTTAGTCAAAGGTTTGCAGAAATAAATTATTTGTTAGAACAAATAATTCTTTGGACTGTATTGAGTGTCTTATGCGATTCCAATGACTCGTGGAATTCTCAACGCTTTGATCTAAACATTCAACACCTTGGATCACCTCAAACTTACTCCTTTAAACGAGGGAAAGAGCATGCATGAAGGAAGACAAAGAGAAGCACACTTCTTCGCTTTCCATGGACGCTTCTCGTCTCTGCAACTCCATCACCCTGCAGATGAGTGCAGCGTCGTCCGCCGGGAGGCGTTGCAACAGCAGCAGCTTCACGTGCAGAGCTCATCAGGCGAGGATGGGAAGGCCTGCAGCAGCCAATTTCTACCAAGTCCTCGCGCTCGAACCGGAGAACGCCGGGGCTGATGCCGTCAAGAGAGCATACCGAAGCCTGGCGCTTCGCCACCACCCTGATGTCTGCCCACCGTCGGGGAAGGAGGAGGCGACGAGGACGTTCGTCGAGATCCAGAGGGCTTACGAGATCCTCTCCGATCCAGTTCTACGCGAGGAGTATGATCATCAGTTGGGGTTGGTTGGTTCAGCTAAGCAAAGAGACCAAATAGATGAAGAACGAAGAAGAGTGTATCCTAAAGAAGTGTGGATGGAGCAGCTCAGGGAGCTCAAATCTAGGTCAATGAGTCGCATGGGAAAGAAGAAACTGGAGTGCCTGTAAAGACGCACAAAATGGTAGTGATCTTTCGGCAAGTTGTAGTGTTCAGAGATAAGTAAATGAAGGTGATATATAATTCCTCTGAGAGAACTTTAAAGCTGCATTGTGACTTCCTCTTTGATTCCACGATATATACATACATTAGTGCTCGACACAGAATATGCACAATCCTCATAAACAAATTATGAGGGTTTTGGACAAACTGTATTCTCATGATGTTTCTATCACATCTCACATTTTTCTAGAAGGATTTTGATCAAAACGATTTAATGTTATTATAAGATCGAGGAGTTGCTTAGAAACTTCCTTTCTCGTCTTCTTTAGAGGTATTCATCAGGTACTTTAAAGTTCACCTTTTGATAGCCGACCTGTTCTTTTTTGCTTCGTATAATCTTCTCCTTTAAGCTCATCAGGCACAACGACCCTAAGGTGACTGGGTGATAAGACTGGGTTGGATGATAAATACTTCAGATGATTACCTCGGGATAACATATATCTACAGGTACTTCGACTCCTCCCAAGTGAATAAAATGCAGTGTCCACCTGAGGCAGATATCTACCGAGTGTATTATTGAGCAGTTCCTTTTCATTAGTCAGCGACATATACATATACTTATTTGTAAGTAAAAATCTATGATTATATTATTATTATATATAAAAATTAATATAAAATATTAAAATATAGATCAAATTTACTATACTTATTTTTTTTATGTTATTTAAAAAATTATAATGATAACGATCTATAAGGAAAACTAGACTCATCTTCTCCTCTCTTTTTATCCTATCGCTAATATCATTATTAGCAATCGATTATAGACTAAAGAGAGATGGGAAAATATTTATAATCTCTCAATAATTTTTTTTGTCATTGGGAGGTCTTGTAATTTTCTATAGGTGATAACAGAAGGTCATGCAACTCGGCCCATCAGTCCAACCTGCGTCCGAGTTCAATAGCTCAGCCATCAGGTTCAGTCTTTGCCCGAGTCATACAACTTGGCCAGTCGAGCAGCCACTTGGCCCATCGGTCCAACCTACGCTCGAGTTCAATAGCTTGGTCATCAGGTCCAGTCTTTGCCCAAGTCGTGTAGCTCGGCCATTAGGTCCAGTCTTTGCCCAAGTCATGCAGCTCGACCAGTCAAGCAGCCACTCGGCCAATCAGTCCCACCTACACCCGAGTTTAATAGCTCAACCATCAGGTCTAGTCTTTGCCTGAGTCGTGCAGCTCGGCTAGTCGAGCAGCCACTCGGCCAATCAGTCCCACTTGCGCTCGAGCTCAATAGCTCGGTCATTAGGTCTAGTCTTTGCCCGAGTCATGTAGCTCGGCCAATCGAGCAACCACTCAGCCAATCAGTCTCATCTGCGCACGAGTTCAATAGCTCAACCATCAGGTCCAGTCTTTGCCCAAGTATTGCAGCTCGGCTAGTCGAGTAGCTACTCGGCCAATCAGTACCACCTGCGCCCGAATTCAATAGCTCAGCCAACAGGTTCAGTCTTTACTCAAGTCGTGCAGCTTGACCAGTTAAGCAGCCATTCGGCTCATCAGTCCAACCTACGCCCGAGTTCAATAGCTCGACCATCAGGTCCAGTCTTTGCTCGAGTCGTGCAGCTTAACCAATCGAGCAGCCACTCAGCCCATCAATCCAACCTACACCCGAGTTCAATAGCTCGACCATCAAGTCCAATCTTTTGATATGGTATATTTTGGCTCTCAGCCACAGGACAAATCCACCTCCAGCAAGGTGCAAACATGGTGCCTTGGGATGAGGGTCGAGCACCACGTCGGACACATCTATGTAGAATCAACACGAAGACCACGTTCCTCCCACGTCGACGGAAGCACACGCAAGGAGGCGTCCTCACAGCAAATCACGCTCCGAAAAGCTCGGGATGGCACCACAGGGCGCTATTCCGCACATACTGGGGCAGCGGTCGAATGTAGGTACGAACCCACCGCTCGGGGAGTCGACCGCTGTGTGAAAGCTATATACGGTTGACCCTCGAGCATCAATATAAAAGCCCTTGGCCAGCATTTGGCCAAAGGACGACTTTTGAGAGACAAATCATCGGACCACTCACTTAATCTATGAGGGGCCAAAGTCGAGAACCCATCGACCCAGGCCTGTGTGCAGGGGCACAGCAACTCCGGAGCCAACTCAAACCCTCGGCGAAAGCGCGTCCAACCCAACATCAAGCGCAACCCAACTTCAGTTCGACTTGACCAACAGAAGGATGTGTTCCCGAGCCTTAATGATTCCGGACATCGGTTAGTGGACCAAGTCGTGCTAACTCTTCGGCCACGATGTGCGAGTTCACCGAAGACCCAT